ATAGAAACTTTGACAGCCAATCAGAATCCTCCTTATTTTAACAAGCTCGAGCATTTAAAGCGGCAGACAACATAACTGCAGTTTGTGTTTATAATAAACAGAATTCTGTTTATTATCAACTATGAAGATAAACTAAAAATATATACAACCAAATACATTGTAATGTTCAGTTTATTGTAAGCACCGGCTGCAATTTTGTCGCTTTAAACACTTCAGCTCTTTAAAGTCCAGCAGATTTTGATTGGCTGTCAATGTTTTTATCGTTCATCAGCTGGAAAAAAAAAATAGCTGTGAAAGTGACTCCCACGAAATTGTTGCTTTGTGCCGCTACCGTTATGGTTGTGCCATGGACTTAACTATTTTCATAGAATTTGAACAATTATTAAAACTTTAGTTATTATCCTAAAAGTGGCAGATGACAAAACTGCAGCGCGCTTATAATAAACAGAACGTTTTTGCCTATTGGTGTGGACACTAATATTAGTTATTATCATTATAGATATAAAGGTAGGCCTTTACTGAAATATGTGACCCTGGACCACACAACCAGTCTTAAGTCGCTGGGGTATATTTGTAGCAATAGCCAACAATACATTGTATGGGTCAAAATTATTGATTTTTCTTGTATGCCAAAATCTTTAGGATATTAAGTAAAGATCATGTTCCATTAAAATATTTTGTACATTTCCTACTATAAATATATCAAAACTTATTTTTTTTATTAGTAATATACATTGCCAATAACTTAATTTGGACAATTTTAAAGGCGATTTTCTCAATGCTTTTTCTTGCACCCTCAGATTGCAGATTTTCAAATAGTTGTATCTCGGCCAAATATTGTCCTATCCTAACAAACCATACATCAACGGAAAGCTTATTTATTCAGCTTTCATAACGCTGCATAACTCTCATAATTAAAAAAAAAAAATTAATAATTATGACTGGTTTTGTGGTCCAGGGTCACATATAGCGCCTGTGACGACTTGTAGGCTATACATTTAACTTAATCTTTATAAAAACAAAAGTTGACGAACATGCCACTATCCAAACACGGTTGTTAATCATACAGTGCCAGGGTATATTAGCATATGATAACACCACTGCACACTGTACAGTGGTTCATTCATAACCTAAAAACCAACAAAAAGGGCTGGGGTTGCACTACAAAAGCTGAAGGCCACTTTATCATCGCGAAATTGCTAAACCGTTTGCGATGTGACTCATCGAGTGAAATATTATCACCTAAATCGAGCTGTTTGGCCAGCAAACTGAGGTGTGAAGTCGCTGGGTGTGACCCTTCCCCTCCCCTCGCTCACAAACTCGCAGCCGGCCACTGACAGGACAGATTTCCTGTCTCTCTCTCCGAGCTGTTGTCCTTATTTGGCTTCGGTGAGAGTGTGTGGTTGTGTGAATCGAGAACAGAGAGAATTTCCTCCTGACTGTGACTCACTGCTGCTCTGACTCACGCGCGTGTTAACAAAAACAGTGCGTCGCCATGGAGACGCAGACTGCCGCCCTCTCGCTCCGGTTTTAGCGGCGGCCAGCAGCTGCCGTTCACTGACAAAAGGTAACGCGCTGGAATCGGATAGTGCTTCAAAGAATACTGTGGGATTACTACTTATCACCATAAACTAGTTTGAACGCTAAATTTAAGATTACAACCGCACAAATATAGGAAGACTACAAGTAACGCTAGTATGTATTCTGCCAATCGCGTGTCGGCAAAGCCGTTTAATTATGCTGCATAAACAACGAGTCCTCATCATTCGGTTTATTTTTGGCTAGATTTCTGTTCATTTATTTAAGGATCTAGCTCAGCTTTCAACTGTGTTTTGCAATGTTATATGGGGTATCTTCACTTGTGTCTTTTTCACAAGGAATATTAGCCTATTTAATTAATCTGCTACTTGTGATAGTTCAATTTAGTATATAGGCTTAACTGTAAATTCTCAGGGAAATAAGCCTTTATTTATTTATTTTTTTTAAACTCAGAAGTTCCGCAATATCTAAAAATTTTAAATAAATAAATAAGAAAGCTGCAAAATGTTAATACTGTAATATTTGTGACCCATATATTTATATGACCACAAAACCAGTCCTAAGTAGCACGGGTATATTTGTAGCAGCAATAGCCAAAAATATAGCCTATTGTATGGGTCAAAATGATCGATTTTTTTATGCCAAAAAATCATTAGGATATTAAGTGAAGATCATGTTCCGTTTCTCTCTTTTTTTTTTTGCACCCTCAGATTGCAGATTTTCAAATACTTGTATCTCGGCCAAATATTGTCCTATCCTAACAAACCATACATCAATGGAAAGCTTGTTTATTCAAAACAAATTGACACTTATGACTGATTTTGTGGTCCAGGGTCACATAATAATATTTAATTCTATCTTTTGGTTTTACTATTTCTTTGTTCATCTTAATGTACCCCCTGGTGTATTTGTAAACCTTTCAAACTAATCATATAGATTATTATATAGCAATAATTATATAGCAAAAAAGCACAGTCAAGAGTAACCTCACCAACCTGAAGCCTGAAGCAATGTTTGCAGCACCTTGATGAATCCATGCCACTAACAATTCTAGCTATTCTTGGGGCAAAAGAGGATCTAACTTTAGAAAGTGTGTAATTAAGGATGCAGTGGCTCCAGAAAGTATAAACACTTAATTATGCACGAATATTATTGCATTCATTTATAAAAGAATATTAATAGTATTTCTTATTAAAAACATAAGTTTAAAATGTCAAAGAAATGATTTTAATTGTTTCATTAAAATATTTATTATATTTTAATTAGAATTAAAATTCTCCTATTTTAATTGAATATTTCTTCAATATATATTTTAGATATTTATAATTATATTCAATTATATTATTTAAATTAATTGAATTGTAAAATAAACTGTACAAGCAAAGCATTTGAAGTACTAAAATAATAGGTAAAAAAGTATGTGAATAATACATTTAAATGGACCTGTATGTGTATTGTGTATACACTAGTATTATGGACATTTTGTGATAGTAAAGTGTATGTGATGATGGTGAACTACACCTGTGGTTACGTGTGTAAACCTGAGGTCTTCATACACCCATAACAAACCACCAACAATGACGAAGAAATGTAAAAGTTAGTGAGAGAGCGTTTGAGCACAGATACAGACACTTCATCTAATGCATAATCAAACATTTTTACACTAAATACACTTTGGATTTACTGTATATGTAGTGCATGCGTCCGAACACATTTCGAAGGTTTCTTATAAAGATTTATGCTGTTCTAGCAGAGAGTTAAACATGTTCCTGTGATGCATTACATGCATGACTGTAAACTGCATTTTTACGGTTCTCAGTTTAAAGTGCTTTCAGAGATTATGAGCTATTTATTTTGTTCAGCAAAAGACACACAAACCCTGTCAGGCACATGCACTGATCGTCTTTTCATTGCATGCTAAATTTAAAAAGAGCAACAGAAGGATTATTGTTTTGTTATCAGATTGTCTGCACAGTTCACTATGAGATCAGTTATTTTTATTTTCTTATATGATTAAATTGCTCAGGTTTCCTCAGTGCAAACAGACACTCCTGTCTCTAATCTAAAGAATGAAAGATCCGCTCAGTTATCATTTATTGCTCATGGGGTGTCATCGGGTCGTGGTCGGACACGTTTGCTTACGCCTGTAGTGTCTCACAATGAGTGAACGTCTAGAAGCTGCGTGAAAAGTGTCAATGAAAAAGAATGGAGGAGTATTTGCGGGGTTTGTATGACATATGGGGAGAAAAATTGACAGATTTGACAGCGATCGAACCATGTAGACATAAGAAGGGGAAAAAATGAGAACAGAAATGACTAACCTAATCAACAAAGTGCGAGATTTGAGTGAATCATTATGGATTATATTATTAGTGGTGTTATACAAGCATCACTATTACTATTGCTCATACTTGTGGTTAGGAAATTAAACCGAGTGTTTGTGCTACATGAATGATTGCTCAAATCATGTGTCTTGTTGAGATGAGGTGGGTTATTATTTTTTCAGAGTGCTCTGACTTACAGTTTCCACCTGGCCCATGATAAATCCCATAGCACTGATGGACACATGCGTAAGGAGCAGAATATTCTGGAGACTTGGAGGTGGGCTCTTTTGATTTAGGCCAGTAAGGAACCACCTAGCAACCCAACACAAAACCCTAGCAACCGCGATGCAACACAACAAAAAGTCAGAACACCTTAGCAACGGAAAAGCATCACGGACCTTTCCATGGACAAGCAGCACTCAGAGGAAAATATACCACACATTTATGACATATCTTTTTTTTTTTTCTCATATTGTAAGCGCTGCAAGCAAAGAGAATATAGGTAAGGAATATATATATATTTTTTGAATATACTGTATATCAATAAATACAACTACAATACTTCACATAAAAATGTATATAATAAATATATAATAAAATACTTAATATATATATAAATTTCTTTTAATGAAAACTTACCAACTACATATTAGAATTACTATTAAATTTATAAATAATACAATAATAAGCTTGTTATTGGCACATCTGCTTTGCCAGTTAACAGATGACAACAAACATTCTATTTTTATCAGTGAAATTTAAATAAAAAATGGGTAAAAATAGTTAATATTTAATACATTTAATTGATAAAATATGAACAAATACAGTTAATAATATAATAATGACAGCAAAAGTGATGTTCAGAATTTAAAAACTTCTATGTGTTTTAATATATTTAATCATTTATTACCAAATGTATAGTGACCAGCCTATAGTACAATTTGATAGATTTGCCGTTTATTAAATTTGATAAAACATTTGCCTAGCTTTACAACAATTATATATAAATAAAACACAACCTACTTAACAAATAAAAGAAAGTGCTCAGTGGAACTTTCTGCTGATGAATGCATTCAAATTAACACATCAATCTCATTCGGAATGTGATTGTCACACTTTATTGAAAAAAATAATACCAATAGGAATATTTCGGACAGGAAATTATTTCATTGATTACTGCTCAATATCGGCGTAGGGGAGCAACAGAAGAGAAAAAACAGAAACTACTTGACTACATTAATACTAAATTGCAAGCATGGAACGTATCATGAATTATTAAGATGAATAATAGTAATGCTGATGTTATATATCACAATATGTGTGCTGTAAATGCATATAGCGCGCGATTGTCTGCGTTACTAAAATTCAGATGAATAAAGGTGGGAATCTTGTATCCAGAATCAGCAATGACAGAGCCCCCCTTCAGAGATGAGTCACAGCATTAATACTGTCTGTTCCTCAAACTCATTCCTCTATAGATAAGGCATGCGTTGCTCTTTATTGTTTTACGAGGTTTATTACTTTAGATTCGTTTTGCTTCCTGAACCGATTCGGCTTTGCATGATTGTGACTTCTTGCATGCCACCTGTCTGTCGGTATCCACATCCCAAAATGCACCAGTAGACACTATACTGTAAATACACAATGACTCTTTGTGGCCTATCTTGCAACTTTGCACTTGTTCGATGCAGAAGTTTCGCTTCTCTTGCAGTCAACTGAGCTGTAAGAAAGCAGCACGTGCTGCGATGCTCCCTCTGGTGGTTCAACATGTTCTGCTTTGTTCATAATGAAGCCCAAGTGTGGATAAACAGCGTCCTCTAGTGTTGAAGAAGTGCAGATTCTCATTTCTGAGTCACTCCAGTTTTTCGTCCTTTTTTGAAATCTCAGTAATTCCTAGAAACTCGATGTCCAACAGTGAAACGTACGTCCCTTCAAAACAATTGAAACTCATAAGACATCAGTGGATCAGGTCGATTATAGGTTGTGTCTTTGGCAAAAGAACAATTCTAATTCTTCAGATGATTCACATATAACATGTACGACATAAAAGGAGCTTCATTCATTTGGTCCTGAATCGAATAACATTATTTTGTTCAGTCGAGTTCTGCAAAAGCTCAGTCTATATGCTGTTCTGTATTATAGTCTCATTTGGCGTTTGTATTCCATTTTGTACGTTATTGTCAACGTGCTATATTGAATAAACAGCATGAACACGAAATGACGCAGAAATCCCTCTATACGAGCAGCAAGACCATTGATTTGTGACTTTATTAGCCATTCATAAGACATAAATCCTATTGCGTAACTCATATCATCCCCTCCGGGTGTGTTTTTCAACTTTTTATGCTTCAAGTTTTCATTTTCTACAAAAATAGGTGACTCTTTTTCATCAAAAGCAGTCACGTGTCCGGGGCTCTGAATGCAACACACGTGGGGGGGGCGTCTCTGGGAAGAAGATTCAGAAATTGCTAAAAATCTCATGCTTCTTGTTCCAGTCCATCTGGGGCGCTCTCTTTCTGGTGCGCTTGGCGTGGGCTTTCTCTTTAGCCTCCGCCGCCGTGGGGCTCAGAGATAGACCTGTTTCTTCAAACGGGTCGAGAAGATGACTGCTGCTGTCCCTCGAGAACTGCAAAAAATAAATTCAAACAGCCGTATTACAGTATGCATAAAATATTGACTATTTGGCATTAAATGCATTTTGTGCACTATATATATATATATATATA